TATAAACGAACTTAATGGTTGTACGGCAGTGAAGCATCAGTGCCAACATTGATGTTGCTGTCATTGACGATTGATGATGATGATGATGTATTGATACAACCCGCGGTGTGTGTTGATTATCAGTGGTGGGCATGATTCTGGTGCGACTTCAACCTGAAGGTACGCTTCAGCGAGGTCGATTTTGGCGAACTTCCCACCGTTCAGAAAAGTTAATAGATCGACAGGTATTAGCAGTGGATAGTAGTGCAACGGGATGGCTGCATTTAGGCCGGTTGAGAAATCGACACGTAGGCGGATGTCACTGTTGGGTTTCTTCACCACAACGATCGGCGCTGCCCAGGCGGGGTAGGATACAGGGGACAGAACGTTTTGTTGTTCCAACCTTTGAAGTTCAGCATCTACCAGTGGGAGGGAAGCGTACGGAACTGGTCTCTTTGGACGGAAGACTGGCGTAGCTCCTGGCAGGAGGTGGAAGACTATTTGTGTCGCAGTGCACTGACCGAGACCGGATTGTAAAACAACTGGAAATTGCTTGACAAAGTTGGATGCATGATCTGGATGCATCGTGAGAGATTAAACTGTATTGAAAACGATACTGATTGGAATGCCGGCTAACCACAAGCGATCGAACCAATCAAGTTCCAATAAGTTCAGCTCAGCTGTCGTTACATAACACGAGATCACGAACGTAGATCTCCGAAAAGATACGACATTGGAGCTCCTTCGCAGGCACTGGTAGCAGTTCGAGTGGTTCGTCTGATCGGGGGATGTTCGACGCAGTGTCCAACTGCAGTCGAACTGGATGATAATTGGCGGTGACTGTGAGGTACTGTCGGTGACCTGGGGTTTTGATCCGGAAAGTAGTCAACAAGCTGAGAGAGGAGCCAACAGGGTTCGATTTTGGTTTGGGACAGACGCGTGATGACGGCTTTGAAACACCAGAGGCCATATGCGTCCGTGACTGACACATCTTTGTGTCTCACGGATTTAGATTGGCGGCACCGATGCTGCTTGTAGGGACAGGACCTGATGAAATGCCAGGTTCCACAGTGTCAACATTGTGGAGGTGGTATCTTCTTAGGCCTCTGTTTTCCTTCGGACCAGAATACCGTAAGGCCGACTTGGTCCGACCGGAATTGACGGGGCCAGGCTGTTGCGTAGCCTGATGGGTTTCATGACCTTCGGAACCGCCATGACCCCCGAGTTGGACCATCGCAGGTGTCATGCTTCAGGTTAAGCAATCGTTGACACTCCAAGGTGATGGCCTGCAGCGTCATTGATGGGTCCTGTTCGATGCGGCTAAGGAGTCGGGTACGGATTTCTGCATCCTTCAGAGATTGTAGACCGCACATGAAAATCAGAGACTTGAATTGATATTCGGTAACGATCCGAGCTTGAACCGTTCGTATTCCCGGTTCACGGATACCAGAATGAGTGAGAAAATTGTCTGCGTCACTTTTCACCAGCTTTAGGCATCGGTAACGGATATTGAAAATTGACATTTGCTCGCCAAACATTTGCGAAAGCGTGTGAACCGTTTGGTGTCACGTGAGTTCTTTGGAAGAATATAATTAGTGTGTTTATCATGCTCCTTGGGTCCAAGTTTTCGGAGCAGGCGGCGAACCTTCCAACCACCATCCTGAATCGAAAAGTCGACCCTGAACAGGTCTTCATAGCGACGAAACCAAGCACCAAACGTTATGCCAGCTGAGGGTTCATAGCAAAATTCGTTGATACTGCCAGCGATTCCGTCAACCGACTGCGGGACGGTCGACGCCGCCGGTGAAGCAAAGATGTAGTTTATAGTCGCTCCGTAAGTACTTTTATGAGTTGCAGTTGTTGCTCAAACATTGCTTTGAGTTGATCTGCCTCCATCTTGCGTCGCCAGATGTTATGGTTTCGATCACTAAGCGAGCAAACGATGATATGCGCGGGCTGTGGCGATATTCCATCCCCAGCCATATTGCCTGTTTCCGATTCCTAGTAAAGCTGAATAGTAAGAAGACGAAACCCTGGACACAACCGTACTGTTCCGAACAACAGGCGATAACGGAAAAACGACAATATATATGTCCATAGTTTGGGCGAGATGGCCCAAAGGGTTAGAGCGCGAATTTACTGACCGAAAGGTCCGTGGTTTGAACCCGACTTCTGCCTCTCGACTTCCCATGTCTAGGCTTAGGCAACCTGGCAGTATCCCAGCCCTCGTGCAACCTTTGGGTGGCATAGCAGTTAGACACCGGAAGGGTGCTATAGCTGAACGAGTTTGACCTTGAAAAATGCCGGAAGTTCGTTAGGACACACAAAGATGCAGCTTTTGGAGATACTGATATCCCCAACATTCACGTGGCCATGAGCCACCGATGGAGAGCCACAATTCTGGACTGCCGTTCCTTTTGGGGCACACAACTTGATTCCGATCACTCCATGATGCACACACACCTGAGAGTTCGTTTCTTTTCAGGCTTTCACAGGTAGAGTCAGCAAGAAGTATGCCAATCCACCATCTTTGAAGAAGTACGGCAGTGAAGCATCGGTGTTTAACACTGATGTCATGCTGTCGATGATGATGATGATGATCTTTGAAGAACTACCGTAGCTCAACACTAAGCTCGCTCAACATCTCTCTACAATAAGCCTATGCGCTACTAGTAGTGAGCATTGGGATGGAGCATGGCGGAATAGGAAAGGAGCTAGTCTACCGGTGTTCAGTGCTCTGTTCGACTTCTGATACAGTCGAATGACAACCGGAATCATGGAGATCACCAGTCCTGATTGATTGCAGGAAATCCATACCAGGCAACGAGTACGACGGCGCACGCATATCCCTCAGACGCCAACTAGTGAAGAGCCTAATGTAAGACCGAGAGCTCTAGTGTACATCGAAGGCTGTAGAGATGAGGGCTTTTGCTACCGGAAACGTTCATTTCCTATATCACTTGATACAATCCATCGAGCCTAGGAAAGTGAGAAACCGTCGAATGGAAAGATGGACTGAAGACTTCGAAGAAGTTCTGCTGGTTTCCTGCAACACAGCTTCTGGGGATAGTGCATGCGGGCGAATGGAACGTAAACCTTGATAGTCTATTGGAAGAAGAACTAAAATACGAAATCTCCGTACTAAAACGTGAAGAGGTACCTGGAGCGGACAGTCCGTATTCAGCCGTCTTCAAAGAAGGCGTAGACTTCCTGGTGACCCGCCTGGCGAAATTGGTGCTATATCGAGTGAGAAAAAAGTGCTTGCGGAATGGGGCGTGTCGACAGTTATTCCTATTTTTAAAAAGGACACACGGACGCCGTGTGAAAACCACCGTGACGTCAGCCTGGTAGCTGTGACCTTGAACGTACTCTCTGGTGTAGTCCTTCGAAGGTTGATTAAACACAGAAAAACAGATTCCTGAAGGTGAAATTGGGTTTCGTCTTGCAAGAATGCATCGATCACATTTTCACCCTGGACGGATTCTGGAACAGCGACACCGCTTCCAGCGACCACCAATGGTTGTGTTCCTTGACTTGGAGACTCCGCACTGTGACAGTGCGGAGCAGATGTGTTCCCCACACCTTATTGACCCTTCTTAAGGCGCTGTACGCTAACTCCCGCGGACGTGTGAAGGTCTGCGGGAAACTCTCGCATGAGTTCACCACTTCAGGTGTCAGACAGGGCTGTCCTCTTTCACCTTTCTTCTTCAGCTTCGTTATTGATACGATTATGGATAACTCACTGCCAGCCTCTAATGCCTGTGGGGTCAAAGTGCTCCCGGGACATCCGCTCATAGATATCGAGTACGCAGATAAAATAACTCCTCTTGGATCTGACAACGTCGTAGTGCATACAGTATTAAATAAACTAAAATCTATCTCATGATTTGGCATGCACTTTACACCTACACAGTGTAAAGTGCTGCTGCAAGAGTGGGTAGGCTCGAACCTTAACCTAATGTTTGCGGATGAGCCGATTGGGGCAGTAGACATATATGCCTACCGTCTTTGATATAGACGGTGGTTTCATTACATTGGACTTTCTACCTTATCTTCAATTAACTCACTAAAAGACGATTTTTGGGTCCTGTTTTGCGAATTGTTTGAAGCAGCTTCCTTGCATTCTCTACTGCGTTAGCCGCTTCCTTTTTCCTAGTCTTTTGTCCCTGTAAGGCCTGTTTGTGCATGGATTCTGTGCTTACGTTCAACCGAACATCTCATTTCAGTTTAATTTATCAGCTATAAACCATTTACCATAGGCATTTGGTTCTAGCTGCTACAGTTTCGATCACTGGGAAGTAGGAGAGTTTGGGACATGCGGCCAAGTTTTGAGGCGATGGCACATGTGGTTAGTTCGGGAACTAGATAGCTGTGCATTGTAAGCTAAAGCCTCAATTTACGAGCGCTACTGACTGCGCGATCAAGCCGTTTCCGCCAGTGCCCCGGGGTCGCTATCCAGGGAAGCGGCAGTTGTCGACCTGGCTCTGGTTATTGTTTTCAAACCTTCGTCCCCCCTTGTTCTTTTCTTCACAATAAAACTTTCAAATAGATCATGGTTGTACGTGTTATATATCTGAACGGGTACGATCAACGGCCGTACGCGACTTGAGGATGAGCGCACAGATCCCCAGCTACGACGCGAGCCCAACTACTAGCGCAGAGAGAAGACCGGACCTTCAGAGGAGGACTTTTACTGCTGCAACCAAAGGCGAGGTGCAGTGAAGCACCATCGACCTTGGGGAACAATAAATTCATTAGCGCACACAAAGACCAACCGGCTAATAGGAAAGGAGCGCGGTCTTTTTGCATGGAGGCGCAAAATGGAAGACAGGGCGCGAAATTTAAAAGGTCAAAGTTTCAGAAAATAAAATTGGCAGTAATTCGAAAAGTAAACGTTTTTTGGGGATATTGATATCCCAACAGTACGGAAGTGACGCATCGATGTTGAACACTGATGTCGCGCTGTCGATGATGATACGTTACCAGGTCACACGCTGTCCACCTCTGTCCGGCTCTTCGCTCACCGGCCCCTTCACCCCTCCCCACGCAACCGAGCATATAGTCAAACTATGCTGTTGGCTCGTAGGCGTATAGTGCCTCACATCAAGGAGTCGCAGTCTGAGAATCCAGTGGTTTCCGTGTACGCGCATAGTTGTTTCGTCCCACCTGCCATCCGCACTCTACGATGCGACAGTTCGTAGATTCGCTTCCTTCACTTGTGGTTCAGAAAGCGTTTTGGCCGGTAGGAAAAACTGAGTGCATAAAAGAATGGTTATGAAGCTGAGTTAGGAGATAACAATGAGGAGAGAAGGGATGTGGTAGCCGTCACCATTTTCTTTTGTCTTCTTTTCTGTTTGCAGCGGCGGGAGCAACCCGGTTGATTCGAATTGACGGCCGATTTATTCATGAAAATACCCGTCTTTGTATTTCGTCGTTGTAACTAGAGGAGATACTGATGCCCAAACCTAAAATAGAAATTCAACTGGGGATTCACTTGAGTTTCCAATAATATCAAAGTAGTGTGTAAATGGGTGTATTTTTCAAATTTCTTGCAATTGAGTTTCAAGTAGGACATAAGGTTGACGGAAACTCTCGGACTGCGCCTATCTGATTAGCCCCCCAAAAGGCCGAAAACGGTCGTTGGTTGTCGAAGAGTTTTCAGGAAAATGTTGGTAGCTCAGGTAGCATAAATTGTCATTGGCTTGTTCATTGAGTTGGGTAATTTGATTGCAAATGTTTCATCTCTATTCGAGGTGACATCATCAGTGCGTTGTTAGAGAGCCTAGTGGTGCGTAGCGATGGGTTGGTGGTTGTGCGTTGATTAGTGTTGCATGTGTGTTAATATACGTGTTGCTAGCCGGGGCTGACCTTTGACCACGATTAGTTGTGCAGTTGGGCGGTTCCATTTCCGATTTCAGACACAGTTCTGAGACATCGGTGGTCAAAGAACTGAAGATGTGTCATAGCCTCGACCTGAAGTGGCTGTGTCCGGAATGTAGTTTGGTTTTCGCGTCCTTTTTATGCCACAAGTGGCGCGAATGAGCAAAAGCAAGTCACGCCTTTGAGGTACGTGCGTTGACTTCGTCTATCACACTATCGTTAGAGTTAATACAACTTCTGAGGTGCGTATGTGGTTCCACAACTTCCAGTGTCACTCCTTGAATCTTCAGAGGCCTGTTCGAATGCTGTACGTTCTACAACATGACTGCTTTTTGAGGGCACGAAACACATGAAGGATTAAGTCAGCCTTAGTAAGCCTTTCTAGCAATACTTGCGTTTCCCGCTCTCCCTCAAACTGTGAGCTATGTCATCTACATATCACAGATGGACAAGGATCTCGCTCGGAGAGATTTGAACACTGGGGTTTTTGGGACCTTCCAGGATGCACCTAATTTTCGCATCAATGATGAAATTAAACAAAAACGGAGAGAGTGGGCATCCTTGTCGGACTCCATTACTTTTGGGAGAGCTTTTCGGGGGTTTCCCGTACACTTTCACACGCCTACAGGTGTAGGAATACAGACAGCGCGTGATGTTCACGAACTTCTGTGGTATACCGTGTTGCACAAGCGTGTTGAAAAATGTGAGCTTGTCGACAGAATCGATGAAATCAGGGAGTGTCACGATTGTAACGCACTTGTGCGCGTGTCGCTGCTCTGTCATTTTACAGAGTTTGAAGATGTCTACGCTGCTCCATCTCAGCTGGAATTGTGCTTGCTGTTCGTGGGTTCCGTTTTCACTACGTAAAACAAACAGCGCAAAGAGTCTGGTTATAACGGGTATCTAGCTAATTTCTAGGTTATTGCCACATTCACGTGAGCCACCTCTTTGAAGATGAGCACCACTATAAACTCACCCCAATTGATCGGGACGGCCTCTTTCTCCGAGATAAGGCAAATAAGTGGGACAAGCACCGACTGGGGACTTCAGTTTCATCTTCGAGCAGATCGAGCGACCACCAGGAGCTCGGTGACACTTGAGGGACAGACAGCACTCGCTTATTTCCGAATTCGTTGGTGGTTTACCGTTCAGGGCTGTGTTGTGGGTCGGGAATCCGGCTGAGCAACAGCAGGTAGCCAGTTGAATTTTTTTGAAAGTATATAGCTAAACAATTCACGCGCCTTTCTCCGTTCTTGGAATAGGCGAACCGTTTTTGTAAGTGGTTGTTTTGCTCGCCACAAGCTTATTTGTGGGTGTTGTACATATCAGCTAGAATGGCTCACGCACATTTCTTTCAAAATTGAAAGCTGTGGGGATTGCACTCTGTTAGGATAAGGGGTTTTAAGCTATTGTTTGCTGTGTTTAAATTCGCCTACGAATTTTTAAATCTTATCTGTCACTCTACGCAACGATATTGGACCTTTTTGATTACGGATCTCGAATGCCGGGCGGTTAGATCACCCCTCAGCCGTTTGTGGATTTAGGATTTAAATTTGCGTTACTTATGAGTAGTGTAGTGGGCGCGTTTTTGCGTTTGCCTCTAACCGATAAGCAACTCGAAACATTTTGCTTGCATGTTATTGGAAATTAAATGAATACTAGCCTTTTTGTCACCTTTGAGAACAGATAGTGTTTTTCAGAGCCTTAGCCAAGCTTCGCCGCGCGTGATAATCGATGCATACCTCTCTTTGGCAACTGTGTTATACCTACCTAGTGGTATTCTGGTGTCCAGAGGGTCACGCCTCCACAACAGTACGATAACACTTTTGATTTTTGGCTGTGGTTTGGCCATTCCCGTCCGAAGAGCTGAAATGTCTTCAAACTTTTGTCCCTGATTTTTCTAAACATGGCAGGAATTGACTAGTCGCAGAAAGTTTTTGGTGTGTTTCAGGTCATGAACCGAAATCGCTAGAGCATTAGATTAATGCGATTGAGACGCCTACGTATGCATATCCACCGTCCACCAAAGAAGACTGTTTTTCACTTGAAACCCGAAACATTTATTGGGGGAAGGCCATAAAGCGACAATCCAGATGTTAGCCAACTTAGGCGTGTCGCCTCCAAACTTTCTCACATTTACGAGAATATTCTGTGACTATTATTGTTCGTCGATGTTGTTGAAGATGTCCGCTCATTGTGAATCAGTCATAGTCACTAACCCGCGATTGTCCGAATCTTAGGTGATTTGAACAAGCTATTCACGAGACCCACTCTCGGGTGCGGGAAAATTTGATAGTTTTTTCCAAGTACAGTGTTCACCTCACTGGGGAACCCATAGAAAATGCTCACTTCTGTGGCCACGGTTTTCTGACATGAGATCTTTTCGTTGCAATCCTCTAGAAAATATTCCCAGAACCACAGGAGGTAGTTTTTGTTTATGTAAACCGTTTTACTTCCCGTGTGGGAGTGCCGCATTGGCGGTACCAGACTAGGACTGACCAGTTGACCATCTGGCTATGTGACCAAGCGTTCGCTTCCTTGAGACCTTGTCGACCCGTCCAGGTGCCGTGTGTGGTGCTCATCTTATGGAGCCTGTCTACGCTTTGAGGGTGAATCTTGACCCTATCGCTGTTTCAAATAACAGCAGTCTAAGGTGGAAAATATGACGAATCTGTGCATGTTAACTCGGCTTTTATCGGGTTCATATTAACACATCTGCTTTTGATTGTGGGAGTATACATAGTCGTCATTGAAATGTTTGTCTTGGTTCCCATGACCCAGATCATCGGAGTTGAATACTTTTACTGCACTGAATACAGATGCACACGTCTAGTGAACCTCTTGGGCGTTGCCTAATAACCTCACACTTTCTGACAGGTGGGTCTGTTACCTTTCTGAAGAGAGGCACTGAATTACTGGAAGGATGTCATGAACAGGCTATCTCGTGACAATCGTTCTTATTCATTGTTTTCCTTTTCGGGATATTATTCCGCACGTTTCAAATTAGTTTTTAACTGACAATTTGGAATGCCTAGAATTTTCCTCATTCGTTCGCCTAGGAGTAGTCTCACCTTATCTTTCGACAGAGTGCTTGATAGCAGCCATCTTAGTGCGCGATTTTATCCATTTTCAGAACGTTTACGGCAACATGACAAACGCGGCAGACACATACTATGGTACCCTGTTCTCACATCTTTCATACGGCATGGGGGAGAATGGTGGCACACCCAATCCAGGGAACAACCCAGACGCTGCGGCACTGGCCGCCGCAATGGCTGCAGTAGCTGGAGGTGGTGGTACTGCGGCTGCGGACTGGAGTGGTGTGAACAATGTTGTGTATCCCCAAACCTCTGGTGCAACCCTACTATCTGGAGTTAACCAGCACCACCATCAAACGAACAGCCTCGGTGATATGACACATAGCGGTGGTGGCGGTGGACCTGTTTCATCTAGTGCGTCACCACCGTACACTGCCACACTTTTGGCTGCCATTGCTGCCGCTGCAGCGGCGGCCTATCCGGCGGCTATGCACCCACAGCAGCTATCATCCCATCCAAACGCCAGTGCAACGGCAGTCGGGCGTTCTTTTATGCCAACAAACACTGGACAAACGGACTATACACAGGTGTACTACCGATCCCCTCCTCGACAGCCGGGTGTGCGTACCCCACTCACTACCGGTCTTTATTCCAATGAGGCTCAATTTCCCACTGCCACAGTAACACTTCCTGGTTGGCCCTATTCTGCGCCTAGTCCCTATCACACTAGCTCAACTCCTATTGGTGGAATAGTCCCCATAAGCGACGGGTGGTCAACCCCAACCAGTCAGCAGATGCATCCGGTGGTTTGTTCTGAGTTGGATTCAGCTTCTTTGCATCATCTAGTCGGATCGACCACATTCGCCCCGAATCAACTCGATGACAGGGCGCCGAAGGATCCCGTTTTGATTAACACTCATCCATATTACACATCACATTTACGCGAGCAAACAGTAAACTACGGCACCACACATGGTGGCAGTGTGGAGGATCCGTCGATTTCATCCTATTCCACGCACGGCACTGGGCAGAATCCGATCACTTCTCATCTGGTGAATGGGATGTTGAGCAACGGTCAGGCCGTTAGCTACGCGGACGCCTTCCTTTCGTCAATGCGACCAGCAGCTCAGCCACAACACTTCAGACCTCCGCCGGATGATAACCAAAATCTTCAGGAGGGGAAACACATGCTTGATGAATTCAATCGTTTGTCCATTAGAGAATATAGTCCGGTTGAAGGAACTTCTGTGACCTCGCCTCCTCCTGCAACAACGTCACAGTCGCTGTGTACTGGCGATAACAAACCAAAAAACCCCAGTGCAACATGGTCATCTTCGTCTTACAGTGAAGTAAACAAAACGGTATGTTATTTTTCTCGCATTTGGTTCATTGCTTTCCCGAATTCAATTACTGTAGATTCTTGATAGGGGATTTTCTAGCGATTACTCCAGACATGTTCATTTTGTAACCGTGTTTTCTTCCACCTGCTATCCCAGTAAGCAACCTTGATTCATGCAGCAGCTGACCCTGCCAATCCACTTTTTGCCACGTTCTTCTTGACACTGAAGCAATTCGAAGAACCATCTGCTCACACTAGTGTCGTACCTGGTTTCTCTGGTCACGGCTTGTTAGGTTAAATTAATGCCATTGTCCGACGGACACGTATTTTCCATGCGACTCGAAAGTAACAAGCGGAGTTAGGTAGTATCGTATTGCCTAAATCTGAAAGAGACGACTCAAAAGTCAAGGTGGATTCACATGAAAAACATTCCGATTGAAGGTCAGTAGCCAGAGGGTTGCATGTAATAACACAAACTTCTTTAAGAAGTTCAAAACTGATTTGGTGTCAACACGCGGCTCAAATGAACCCTTTATCTGCATGTCCAATCACCGATGCGATTCGCTCGCTTAAACGGAGGTAATCCGCTGGGAGCTTATTGTATTTAGTTGTGGTCGACTTCGGATCTGCATAGCTCACCGATAAATTAAATGACTTCGAGTACGCGTTATGGTCACCACGGGCCATATAGATCTAAAATGACCTCTGCGATAGGAGGAAGGTGCCCTAACACCTCGTTTTGCAGTGGAATAGAAAATTTCCGAACTTGAAACTGAAGTTCACTTTCCAATTTTCCCGAAGGAATGGCCATTGTATCAAAAACAGAAATTTGTTCGACAATTGCGATGACAAATAATTGACGGGATCCACCCTTGTAGGCTATTAGAGGGGGGGGGGGTGAGTGGTTTTCGTGCAAGAATTTTCACAGTATAAAATACTATCCGAATTCCTTGTCTAGGCTTGGGCAACCTGGCAGTATACCATCCCTCGTGCTTCCTTCGGGCGGCATGGCAGTTAGACATCGAAAGGGTGCTACAGCTGAACGATATATATATATATATATA